AACTACCCTAAAACGTGGTGATCACCGTCCGTCATTAAATGAAGCCGCTACTTCTATCGCGCTCTATCTAGTCTACACGGTTTTCCTGAGGAGTCCAATGAACTGCCCTAACGGCCATTGGGTCGTCTGGAATAATTCTTCTGCTTTTTAGCTTGCGCTTGGATTTGCGAAAATCCATCCCGAACACAAAGGTCCGCCTCCTACCCCGCACTGGTAATAGTAAAACAGCCCCGAATGGTGTTGGCTACATCGAACCATATCCTATTCTCAAGAAACTCTTTAGGTAAAATCCATGAAATCAAGTATTCTTTTGGCAAAGTTTAATCGAACTGTAAGTGAGGTTAAAGTAAATGATCATTGGATATTTTTATTCATCTCTATTCGCACCAGGTTCCCAGTCCCAAATCCACAATCGCCAATAGAACTCCCGTTCAGGAAGCACTACGCATGGAATGCAATCTCATTAAGACGCAGTAAGTTCTTCATCAATCCTCCCGTATTCTCGGCCCTGGTTTGCTTTTCATCGAGGATCTAAATATACAATCATTTTTCCGGAGTGGAGAAATGTCCTGTAGGGGGGGGGTAATGAAGTGGGGAGGTTAGGCATCTGCGTTAATATCCTAAAACTGCCTCTGAGGTGTCGATCTACACTGCATAGCCACGTTAGTTCCCATATACCATAACTCAGTGCGATTGCTATACAACTGCCCATGTTGGGGGCACGATTGATTATTCTTTTCCTCGTCAGATGGTTCTCCGTCCATTTCTGTGTCGATTATTTTTCACATTGTTGGAACGGAAGTTTTTTCATTCCGAACTGTTTCACGGTTTTTTCTGTTGTAACAAATGCACAATCACGCGTTTTTCACTTGTTGGTTTAAATGTTCATAGTATGCAGTCGGTCTTGCTCTTGTTGCGATCAACATTCGGTTAACTTTTGTTTTGTTCCTTTATAAACGTTGTAGAAAACCACATCTAAAATTGTTCTTTCATAGTTCTTTCGGAGCTATTTACACTTAAATCAGTGGTTGTCCTATCAGACTCTTCTCTTATCATAAACTTGTTTATCATATTCAGAGAGACTCCTAAGGGTTCTCCATCACGTGCTCCAGATGTGGCCGAAAAATCCAGTTCAAACAAAGAAGTCGAACCCCCTAAACCTCCTCCATGCGTCACCATTGCTGTTGATGGGGTCAGTCAACCGCAAGAAGCAGTTACATCACCCGAACAAGGAGCTTCTCGTAAACGTGCTCTTCCTGATATGGACGCGGATGCTACCTCGGATCAGGCGGGCGAGGAAGCGGGGCGCAAAATCGGTCGTCAAAAGAAAAAACGTCGTGTTCGACTATTCTTAGACCCAGATGAAGAATCATCTTCCGCTGTCACCGACAAAAAAACTGTGTCCTCTCACCACGGCAAGAGCACATCTGGAGACAGCGCGACAGGTGGTTCTGCACCGAAATCTAAAACTTCTCTTGCGGTAGAATCTGAAACTGGTATGTTCCTGGTTAGCTTTTAAAATGCGTCCTTGTTCACGTATGAAGCAGAACTATCTCAGTTACGTTGCAGTTATTTCTATGAAAAGCGTTTAATTTAGTAGATAGGCTAAAAGTGCGCGTCAATCGGTGCCTTAGTGCGAGAACACTACTATTCCACTCTTACTTTTCCAGCCCCCTTCTACAATCCATCATGCATGTTCACACAGTTGTGAATCATAAAAACGTAGCGTGTTTATCAGCATGCTTCTCGCAAACCGTTCCATGAAACCATTTAGGCAACACGTGTTCGACTTCATGTCATTTTGCTTATCACTTGGTCCCAAACGAATCCTGTTGTTTGCTGTACAGTTGTCACCATTTAGTACGCATCGTGCACCGTCGACAGACGAATCCGTTTCTCCTCCATTCTGTCTCTTTCGTTCACTTTGTTATCCAGCTGTTCGCGAAGATGTATCCGAAACGCTTCCCAAAAGCTCCCTCGGGGCACGACTACCGTTCCGCATACCAACACCAGATCAATTAGCTAACGAGACAAAGATCAAGTTTGTTTGTTCCCATCCAATCGATGGCCCGATCTTGATGGAATTGTCCTCGAACACGACCACAGCGGGAACTCGACCACTTGTTGCACAATCCGACAGTTGCGGTATTTATCGCATCTCGGCATCCAGGGGAGACCGTCCCTTGTGGGAAATTGTCAGTGAAAAGCGTCTAACGGCTTACTCGTACACTGAGTGAGTGTTTCCATCGATCAAAAAAGGTGTTTCTTTGTATTTGTGGTAATTAGAAGCCTATTGGTGACTTGTGCTACTTTTAGGTATTCGTCGCTTTTCAGTTTACTAGGCTGATCATACAGTTTTCAGGTTTGATCGTATGGTTTGTTTCTCGACCCCTTTGTGAGGATGAAGCGGTTGATAATTTTCTCAGGATACAGTGAATCCTTGCTGTCTTGTCAATCTTTTTAGATATGATTCTTTCCTGGCACGTTAGACCTACTGTCATTGGTAGAAAGTCCATTACTGTTAAGATTACTTTACGATTAAGGTGGAAATACTGGCTAGATACAGATCATAGATTTGGCGTTTGAGAACTTGAAGGTTATAAGTGACAAGAAAATCAACTAGGTGTTCTGCATGACCCCATGTTTCCAGGGAAAAAATAGGTAGTTTTATTTAGCCGGCTTTTGGAAACACTCGTTAAGATGCTTGTGTTCGTTGCTCGCAAGTAAATTCTGTTGTACATTCTCTGCGAATTGAAAATACAGGGGTTTACGTATCATTCCATTGCGGGTGGCTTGGTGTTTTCTGTTCGGTTTCAAACCAGTGAAATCAGCTTTTGAATTTTAGATCTGCATACCAACCCGATAATTTCGTCCCCTGATTTTCGTTATCCCCTATGGGTAAACGATGGAAAAATCGAAGGAATCTTAGCAAGCTTTAGGGAATAATAGCGTTTGAATAGC